TTGATTTAGTAAAATCGTAACAATATTATATTACGTACTCAGGAGAGTAAGAGATAACTTAGATTTTGATAGCTAGAAGATTGATTCATAATGAGTTTGTAAAGAAAAATACGATTTCTGGCTTTATGATAGTCCGCTGTCGTACATCCCAAAAGCTGACGAGATATGCTCAAACACCAGACGCGCTGCCATCTTTGCTGTATCCGACTACAGAGTACATGATAACTAGAAGAATAATTTCCATAACAAATCGACGTTTTGTAGCAGTGGTTGTATAAATGGCCGACAAGGGGTTTACAAATGAATCTTAAGTTATTTTAAGGGACAATTATCTATCCAAATTTGTCAGTTTTCTAATGCTGGATGGCAGACAAGTAAGCATTAATGTTTTTCATAGTTCCTTTACTTGATCAAAAGGTTCAGATAAATGCATGTATGCACAATAACTAATGGTTGGCCATGTCAAACGCTTTTTGAGCATTTAGTACCGCAGTACTACAGATGTAGCATTAAGTTGTTATTATTTACGAATTCGATTATTTGTTTAGCTATAAGAATCTCAAAAACTTTAGACAGTACAGGGAGGAAGCTTATGGGTCGAAAATCAGACGGACTACAAAAATGGTTCTTTTTAGCGACAGGTAGCACAGTGCCAATTTTCCAATACCCAGGTAATACAATGATTTATAGAGTCCCAAGAATGCAAGGTACTGTTAAATGAATGTAATTGGTAAAGCATCATGGCCTATTGCATGGGATTAAATTATAAATTTAAATATACAAATTGCAAACATTCACTAACAGCTGAAAAAATGCATCTCTAAATAAAAGATCAGCCTTCGATATAAAACTAATAGTGTCACTATGAGGTGCATAGTTTAGAATAAAGGTATGATTGACTGTATCTGCTTCTAAATAACATTCGATATTCTCCTTACAATGGACACCAAGTCGTTCAATGTAACACCATTAAACCTTTGTTGAGAGACCAGAACCTAGTTTTATTGTTAAATAAAGCTCGTTTTCTACCTCTGATGATGAGTGTCGCTATGTTACGAACCAATTCATAGGCATCCCTATTATCCACCGTAGGTTTTTTTTTTATGTGGAATGCAGTTTATTTCGTACCTTATTACAATATATTCAGAGACCGAGATTTATCAACGATTGTACGAATGACGACATGCCTCTCGAAAGCAGGTTTCAAAACTCCAAACGCCTATTAATATGTCCAGTTTTCCATCGGTAGATGGACGTACCCAACACTCACTGCAGTCTATAACTTACTTACTTACTTTACTGGCGTATACACCGCTTGCGCTTACTTTTTGCTGTCTGGCACCAATTGGAAATACCAAGTAAAGCCAGGTCTTTCTCTACCTCCTCCTCTCCCTCTGCTTCCACCGGCGGGTACTGCAACGAAAACTTTCAAAGCTGATGTATTCGTATCCATCCGGACCACATGACCTAGCCAGCGTGGCCGCTGCTTCTTAATTCGCTGAACTATGTCAATGTCGCCGTATAACTCGCACAGCTCATCGTTCCATCGCCTGCGATATTTGCTGTTGCCAATGCGTAATGGACCATAAATCTTACGCAAAACCTTTCTCTCGAAAACTCCTATAGTGCTACCGCACTATATAGCAGGACGGTTACAATAAGCGACTTGTAGAGTTTGGCTTTTGTTCGTCGAAAGAGGACTTTACTTTTCAATTATCTATTCAGTCTAAAGTAGCATCTGTTGGCAAGAGTGATTCTGCGTTGGATTTCCAGGCTGACATTGTTATTGGTGTTTATACTGGTTCTAAGATAATCGAAGCTATCTAGAATTTCAGCTCGTATTATTTTCTCCGGTAATAAGTTAAAAAAAGTCATACGATAAGGAATCACCCTGTCTGAAACCTCGTTTGGTATCGACCGGCTCGGACCGACTCTCCCGATCTCGACGGAGCTGAAATAAGTAATTTTGTGTTGACAAAGCGGAAATCTCTAAATGAGATGGTCTTATTTATGCAACAACGATCGATATTTAAATCTAAACAGCAGAAAATAAGGTCATGGTCAGATACAAAAGTTAATTGGTCAATTTTTATGATAGTGGTCAAGTCAGAAATTATGAAGTAGTCAAGAAGACTGGAAGTGCCATTCACTGCGAAGAATGGGTAGTTAAGAATACTGAAAGCTCAAAATATTCCTATTTTTTTCCAGATTGCTGCTAAGGTCACAATAACGATAATGCATTATTAAGCTTCCGAAAGCGACGACGACGCATAAAATGAAATATTAGCTGTATTTAAAAGGAAAAATAGGGTTTTTGCTGAAAATGCTTGGATTTTGTGAAAAAAGAATCTAAGAAATTCTATTGGTTGCCCAAAAAGTAATTGCGGATTTTTCATATAGTCGGCGTTGACAAATTTTTTCANCAGAAGTTCTATGAGCGTGGAATACTAAATTTGCCAGGAAGATGGCAAAAGGTTATCGAACAAAATGGCAATTATGTTTGATTAAAGTTCATTCTAATAGCCTATTTCCACCGGACGTTAAATGCATTTTAGCTTAAATGCAGTTAAACATCGCATTTAAATGCGGTAATTCCCATGTGTTTGTTGTTGTATAAAAGTGAGTTAACTCACTTTCGGTAATTTAGCAGAAAATGTTATGTTAACACGCGTTGCTGTCACTACTAATGTAATCGTTTCGGAAATTTCGGAATATTTCTTGCCAGAGTCGTGTATTTTCGGATTTAATGAGGGGTGAGATTTTTATTTTGCATGGTGAAATTTTATCGGCAAAAGTTATTTCTTTGCATTAGTTTTTACATAAGCGCATATATTAAGCAATTGGCGAAGAGAATGCTTCCTCCTCTTTCAAAAAATACAATAAGAAACAAGCATAAAACAATTGTGGAATTTCAAGCGATCCCCTCAATAGAAAAATCCGCAATTACTTTTTGGGCAACCCAATATAATGTTCACTTAATCTTGCCGGCTTATACGAAAGTAGACTTTTTAACATATTTGTGTATATGCTTCCTTTTTTTTTTTTTGAAAATCTAAGCGATAAATTATTGAAAAGTAAAGTCTTACAGAGCCATTCGTCCTTTCAGAGGACTATCAATGAATGCGCTGAGCTCTATTCACAGAAACGCTAAAAGGACGCTGTAATAGTTTGAAAGAGTTGAAAATATCAAATAAAAAATAATGACTCAAATAAACTAGCAAGCCGTTGGATACGAGTTTATTCAATTATTCACAAAGATCGCGATTTTCCGATAAATTAAAGAGATGGCAACGAGAGCAGTCCGAATTACGAGCCTAAAAATCAGAATTTTACTTCAATGGGGGGTGACGCAAACGGCGTGCGCTGCTATAATTGGTATTGGAATCAAATTCCTAAAGATATTTTAAATAAATATTTATTTATTTATGCAATTTTAGAAATATATACATTTCATCATTCCCGCGGTGATGAGCAAAAACCCTTCCACCACGTCAAAGGAAGTGGTACAGAAGGTTGTGAAACTTCAAGTTAGGGTACATGAGATGAAGGCCGTTAAAGGCGGCGCGGCGATTATTCGCATGCCTTCTGTCGCTGAGCGAAAAGGGGTCGCCAGAAACGAGCAAATCAAGGAGGTGGGGTTGGATGTGGAAGTGAACCGGAAGCAAGACATTCGGTTGGTCAGTCGTCCTTGGGAGAACGTGTTCCTGGAGGGTGTCAGGCTGTTTCCGGTGTATGGGTTTTGATCATAGGGTGGCTGAATGTAAGTTGAAGTCGGATGTTTGTCGAAAGTGCGGGCAAGAGGGGCACAGGTCGGGAGGCTGCGGCAATGCAGTGCACTGTCGCAACTGTCAGTTTAAGGGCTTTTCAGCCGGTCATCTTATGATGTAGGCTGCTTGCCCTATTTACGGTGCTATCATTGCCCGTGCTCTCGCCGGAGACTGATGGTTTATTGTTTATTGAATTTCTAGGCGAATTTATAGAAGGTGAAGTTGTCGCATCATATGATTGCTTGTTCTTCCTTTTATTTCAACAAATTACACAAACAGAAGGCATTCAACAAATTTTGCTTTTGAGTTTTCGAAAATATGATTACACAAACAAAAAAACATAGGCTTTGTATTTTTGTATTCCTGCTACTGTCGTGTGTGAATTTGCCTTGATTGAATTTCAAATTAATTTCCTATTTTTCATCCTTTTTTTACTCTCTATTCGCATATTTTCTAGTTTTACTCTTTCTTCTTTTTGTGATCAATTTCAGTCTATTTCCGTTGCAACACTTTCTTTTATTACTTTTTTTTGTTTTCTAGCTCATTTTTGTATTTTTTTTTTTTCTAAATTTGAATTGGCGTCTCCAGCAGTGCAATTCTGTAATTTTTATCGACACGATTTGTCGGATCGCAAAGTTGCGAATTTTGTCGCTTGCGCTAACGATTATGTGATTCTCTAACTCAGTTGTTACGATAATCGACATCGCATATTTCCATTTTATTAAAATGTAGGAAAGGTGGCACCACAGCTTAACGAAACGTCAAAATGTACGAAAAACACAAAGAGGAATGACAAAAACATATAAATTCGTTATTCCAAATTAGTATGTACATATTTTTACGCTGGCTTTTGAATATATTTTTGAAAAATGTAAGTAAAATGAAACTTTTATTAGTTTTTGTATTATTAGACATGCCTTATTGTGTGTATAATTGTAGAATGGCTACGACAAAAAGAAACCGAGCTACGATGGAGCAGCTAATTCGAATGATGGATTTTTTCGGAGAAACGCCGGGTTTGGCAGGGTCTCGGTTCCAGAAGCTCCATGGAAAATCAGACTGCGATAGGAAGTGGAGCGAATTAGCTAGTACGCTGAATTGCCTTGGTGGTGCTGTGAAAAACGTCGAACAATGGCGCACGGTATGTAAATATTTTTAAGCAATTTGGCAGTATGTTAAAATTATATTTTACAAATAGGTATGGAGGGATCTGAAAAGCCGTACCAGCATCAAGGTCCGAGACCGGAAAAGAAAGCGGGCAATGACAGGAAACAATCCAATTAATGAGGAGCCGCTCACCGAATTGGAGAGACGAGTCATTGCCTATAAGGGCTATGTACAGGGCCACGAAAACGTTCCTGAAACGGTGCCTATAAAGGAGGTAATGAAAAATTAACAGTTTGGTATAAATATAAATGACTAAAATTCTCTTCAATATTAGGAACTGCAACTTCGATTAGAGGAGGGTGAAGAGAGCATAGTTATCGAGATGCCTTCATTTTCAAATGGGGTCGATTTGGAAATGCATACATCGACTCCTGCGACTCAAGCCTCAAAAACTCCAAGTAGAAGCAGTAGGAGAAGACGTGTGGAAGATGTGAGCGATACCCGAAACGCATTTTTAGAAATTGCGCAAACACAAGCGAATGCTTTAAAAGTAAGTATTTCTGCATTTGGAACACATCTAGAATATGTTTTCATGCCGTTTCGTTTTTTTCGAAAAGATGTTAGCAGAGTCGAGTGCAGCATCCACCCAAATTGCAAGCAGGCAAGCTGATGCCTTGCAGGTAATTTTTTTTTAAATGCTATAGAACTACATCGCAAATATTTGTATTATTTTTTTTAATAGTTGTTAGCTGGAAGCAATGCGGCGACCACGCAGGCATTGGCAGATGCTATGACCACAATGGGTGAAGGATTGAAAGCTTGTGCAGCTGCTTTCAACAATTTAGCCGACGCAATTAGCCGCATGTAAATATATTATATTATGGAGTTTAAAGTTATTTTTTTTTTTTTAGATTAGAGTTAATTTAAACATAGTACAAGAAGTTCTTTTTTTATTTATATTATTCATTTAAGTTTTAATTTGAAAAAAAAAAATAAGTTTTGGAGAGTATTTTTTTATATTTGAGTTTATATCTGACTTCATATTAGATATACTATTATCAATTTCTCTTTACATACGTGTACATATATTAAAGAAGTAATGCAGTTATGAACATGAGAGATTCTCCTTTAAGAAACTTTAATGTGATGATATGTGGTATTTAAACCCATATAAAAATACTTATCTGTGAATGAGTGTTATGTAATGAATTATGCATTTAAATTAAGTTGTATGTTGTATGTCTTTTGCTGAGTTAACTTAACTTAAGTACAAATGTTGAAAATATTAAGACTGAAGAATTTGTTACCAAAAATATGTAATAAAATTACAAATTATGTAAATTATATTCCGGAGTTTTTATTTATCAAATTGATATTTAAGTGAAATAATTCGCGATCAGGCGATCTTGGACGCGTTTTGCTGTTGAGGATGGTGCCTCATGATTGAAATTGGCGGTATTTGTTCTATTTTCTAGGAACTCCTGCTCAAGCTCATATATTTGGTCACCTAATCGAATTTTATGCAACACTGAGCACACATTGACTATTCTACTAGTGAATCCAGCATCGTACAAACGAGTTCTTTGTTGAGATAGGCATCGCCAAGTTCCTTTGAGAACGCCAAAAAGCCGCTCCACTGGGTTTCGTGCTTTACACAATGCCTCATTGTAGCGGAATTTGGGACTTCCTTGAGGTTGGTTTGGAAGAGGAGTCATTAACCACGGCTCTAATGGATATCCAGAGTCACCTGAAAATTTGATTTTTTCATAATTATTTTTAATATATGAGTTTTAATGGTTTTCAAAGTTTACCAATCAAAAACATATTGTGGTTTCGACTTTCAAAACTGCGCTGCATTACTCTTCGAACTGTAGAGGAGCTCCAAATGAAAGAATCGTGCCGCGCTCCTGGGTACTTAGCATTAACCGCCAAAATCTTGAGGTAAGGATCACATATCTATGTGAAAATATAATGAACTTTGTTACTACAATAGTAATTGAAAACAAATTTACTGTCACCATTTGCACATTGATGGAATGGTATCCATGGTGGTTTACATAAGCTTCTTCATTTGTTTTGGGACTCATGATTGACACATGAGTGCAATCGATAACTCCAATAGTGCCTCCAACAAATGGTGACGATGATGAAGCAAAAATTTCCTTTGCAGCTTGCCGCTCTATTTGCGTCATTGGAAACCTAACCTTCGCTGGAAACATCGAGCGGTTGATTGCGTCTGTTACGCGATGAATGCAACGGCTTACTGACGACTGACTCATGGATATCCCCCATTGCTCTCCGACGGGACGTTGATAGCATCCAGTTGCAAAAAATCGCAAAGCGGTTAGAACCTTTAAACATTTTAATAATACTGTTAAGGCTAAAAAAAATATTGCAAAAATATATTATTACCTGTTTCTCCGTAGACAATGCTGTTATTCTTCTTCCTTTTAGTTGGCTATCTAGTTGAGAAACGATTTCTTCAACTAAATCCGGCGAAACTCGGTAGCATCCAAATGAAAAGGATCTTCCGCTTCTCGACGCAAACTTCTATTCAATGATGAAGATTAGGATACCTCGTCATATTGTGATAAAACGTATGCCAAATATTCAAAACCATTTCTTTTATTTTTTTATTTTTATTTTTGTATAACTTTGACAATTTCCCGGACACTTTACTCTCTTAAATGAAATAACAAAATTTTGTCGATATCGCTAACAACTTAAAAATATTCGTCGCTTAGTTAGCGATTTTTCGAGTAGTTTACGACAATAGCGAGAGCGAATATCGTTATAACAAGTACACCGAATATTAAAATCGTTAGAATTATCGCAAAGTCTTCTTTGCGATCCGAAAATCGTTATACTAGTCTTAGAGAATAGCGAATATCGTTAAAAATATCGTTAAGTCTTCTTTGCGATCCGAAAATCGTTATACCATTTTAGAGAATAGCGAATATCGTTAAAAATATCGTTAAGTCTTCTTTGCGATCCGAAAATCGTTATACCATTTTAGAGAATAGCGATTATCGTTAAAAATATCGTTAAGTCATTATAACGATCCGAAAATCGTTATAATACGATAGAGAATTGCCCTGCAGCCTTTTAATTTAACCAGAACAACAATCAGCGGGCTACGATCTCAAATTTACTGGCAGACTTAAATAATTTATCAACTATATCACACTTACTATAATACCGGAAACACTCACGAACGTGACCGCAGTCGTGGCTAATTACCGTAGGATGCAGTAAATTGCATAATATTTATCAACGTAGCTCCAACACAAAAATTTGCAGTTTTTTTTTTATTCATATGAACGAAATGATTTCGTTGCGTTTGTTGGGCATCTCCGTCATAAACACATCTGCATAAGAAAAATAGCAGGACAATACGTCTACGGCCTACGTACACGGTGGTGAATTTTCATTTACATGGTACTCCCATAAGTTTCATCAGACTAGGTCTACGGACACGTTTGCGAGTGTTTCCAGTGTAAGTGACTAACGCTCATACACACAGAAGTCATTATACAGAGCGGTAGTATGTAACTTTGGAAAGCAACCAATCAAATTCAATCGTAGCGCTGATTGGTTGAATACAGCAGGCGCATACAGCAAGTGCAATGCTCACGATTAGGGAGTTCAAAGTGAACTGCTCAATTTTGTATTCCATCATATATGTTTCAGTACGAAGGTCGAGAAACAAGCGTAAAAATGAAATTCTGAAATAAACACGGAAGTTTTTTTTGTTAAAATTTCTACTTAAAAAAAGTCTATAATTAAAAAAATGGCGCGTTACGAGACACAGATTTGTCGAAGTTCTCCTAATTGTTATACTAATGAAAATGTATATTTCAATGATTTGCGGTTAAACGATGTTCCGATTATTGAGCGTATGTGATTTCCGAAATGTTTTTGAAAAAATTATTATTAAAATAGTGGTGCCCATAGACATTAAACTTTTAAAATAATAAAATTAGTGAACAGAAGTGTTAATAAATGTAACTATGCATGTTCATATGTATGTGAAAAGAAAAATATATATCAACAAATTTAAAATCCAAAGTAGATTAAACATGGATAAAAGAGATTTTTCGTGGGTGTTAAGCCCATTGTGTTACAATTTACAAACTCAAAATTCAACTTTAGCAAATTTAGAATAAAAAGCTAAAATAAGACGATAATGCACTTATTATTAGATGATGAGTTTCAATATGTGAAATATGTCTAAACATGCATCTGTACATATATCAGAGATCAAGATTTCGTTTAAACAATTTCGAGCAGCTCCAGCATTTGAGCAACGACCAAATCGAGTTTTTTCGTGCATTTTGAACTTTTTTCAATAGTTTTGAATTTATTTACGCAAAGTGTTAAACTCGTTAAAATTTCACAAACAAAATCGAAAATTGTAAAATTTCAGACAAACATTTGAGCAGTTGAGCAATGAACGAGTATCGATCTGCTAGTAGTTTATCTCGGAATAAAAATATTTAAATCATTAAAAGAGCATGCACTAACCCTTTATTATCTAACAAAGTTGAATCTTTTGGAAAAGAAAACAAAATTGTATAATTTTAGATTTTCTCAAAATTTTTAAAATTAAATAATAACTGTTTTTTTTATTAATAATTATGTTAAGCAAGTTAAATTCAATTTTGAGTACTGCATTCTTTTTTTACGATCTTACTCTAAAATTTCATTTTTGAAAAATCGGTTGTAGGATTTCGATGAGTTTCAGTGTGTAGATGTATGTATGGTTGCAAATATCACGAAAAAGAATGTTAGCTTTTATATGGATTTAATACCCAAAATCTAAAAATCGGTTATATGCACATGTTATAGTGATCCGTACTAGCGGGTTCCGACAGCTGAAATCGTATAAAATTACATCTGCTAACCAAATTTGATTAAAATATCTCCAAAACATCTATTATGTATTGTAGATACATACGTAAGATGTGTTCAAAAAATATCGCGAATTTTGTGTTTTTTTGAAATATTATTTATTTATTCATGAAAATCTATTTTGACCCCTTCAAAGTAATCCCCATGAGATATTATACACTTGTGCCAACGGTTTTTCCAATCTTCGAAGCACTTCAAAAAATCATTTTTTTATCTTGTTCAGCTCCTCCTTCGATGCCGTCTTTATCTCGTCAATCGTAGCGTAACGTCGTCCTTTCATGGGCCTCTTCAGTTTAGGGAACAAGAAAAAGTCACAGGGGGGGTCAGATCTGGGGAATACGGTGGTTGCGGCATTATTAGTATGTTGTTTTTGGCCAAAAAGTCGCGCACAAGCAACGATGTGTGAGCAGGGGCGTTATCGTGGTGCAAAGGCAATTTTTGTTCTTCCACAAATCCGGGCGTGTCAGGCTTATTGCTTCGCGCAAATTACGCATAACTTGTAGGTAATATTCCTTATTGACCGTTCTACCCTGTGGCAAGAACTCATGATGCACCACGCCCCTGCAATCGAAGAAAGCTGTCAGCAAAACTTACGCATTCGACCGAACTTGGCGCGCTTTTTTCGGTCTTGGTTCGTGCGGCAGCTTCCATTGAGAAGATTGAGCTTTAGTTTCCACGTCATAACCATAAACCCACGATTCGTCACCAGTTATGACTCTCTGGAGCAAATTTGGGTTGTAGCGGACAGAATCCAACATCTCTTTAGCAATATTCATGCGATGCTGTTTTTGGTCGCAATTGAGCAATCTCGGCCTTCTGAGAACATTTTGTACCACCGATAAACGTTGCTTCGGTTCAAAGTAGCCACAGTCAACATTCGGAATTACATCCGCGCACTTAATTTCGTTTTTTACACAAAATTTAATACAGGTTCTTTGATCCATTTTTTTTGAATAGGTAAAAATCGAAGACCATCCAAAACACGTGCAAGCAAAGCAGCTGTCAACAATTAAGTGAACATTCAAAATGGCTGAGCTTGTCGGCATAAGTGACAGACATGAGTACATAACGCCGCGAAACTTCAAAATTCGCGATATCTTTTGCATTAGAGCAAAAAATAAGCAGGGCGCGCGTTTTGAGTACTTTTACCCCATTTTGCGACGCTGGAATATCGTTAAACTAAAATTGCAAGTATGCGAGTGCTTAGCATTGCGTTCAAATTCTGTTGCGACCAACACTTAAAATTAACTTAAATTTTCAAATTGCAGCAGAGAATGTCAACCTCTCTGGGAGTGTATTTCTGACATAATATTAAGGCTTAAGTAATTAGTATGAGAATATCTTCGTAAAAAATACTTCCTTAAAATATGATAAAAAAAATCTTAAAATACCATTGGCTCAGCTCTCCGCCTTCATGCATCGATTTCCTCTCTGTAAAGGTCCTCGCAGCTACTCATTCACCTTTAAGAACCGAACGACGACGAACGAGTACAGTAAATGCAAAGCGAAATCCATTTTTATTTTATTTTATTTTTTTAAGGACTCCGGCATCTTGTGACCGAACCTCGGAGTTCAAAAATAATTTTTTAATAAGCTTCACTGGTTCACTTACTGGTCTTTTGTTGTTCACTGATTAATTAAACGTCCTGAGTTTATAGCAAATCTTTTGACGTAATTATTAATTTGCCAGAAAATTGAGCAAGAAGTTGAATGAAAGACCGGTCACAACCTATATAAATGTTATTCAGTGAGTAAGAAGTTTATTTTCAAGGACTATATACCGCTCACAGATATATATAAAATATTCGGGCAAACTATTTGTTTTTTTTTCTGTTCAATTAAAGTCATTAAACAATGCGGGTATTAATGTATTGCATTTAAATTTTATAAAATTTTACAGAAAGCTCAATAAAGGACGATAGTTCTTGGAACTCAGAAAAAAATATGAAGAATTATATTTGTATTTCGTTCAATGGTAGCTCATTGATGGGTGTAGAAAAAAATAAATTGTAGAAGCACTTGATGATTGAATTCCATTTGCATTTGTATGTGCATGTATGTATGTACAATATACGAGGTGTGTTCAAAAAATATCGCGAATTTTGTGTTTTTTCAAAAATTATTTAATTATTCATGAATATCTATTTTGTTCCCTTCAAAGCAATCCCCATGAGATATTATACACTTGTGCCAACGGTTTTTCCAATCGTATATATAAAATTTAACAATTGCGTTTTATTATGTTCGAATTGCAATAAAAGTCAGTATATATACCGGTTTCCTCAGTGTCAAAAATATATATGTACATATATATATATATACATATAACATTTTTTAACGATAATAATCTCAATTTTTATGATTTTAGAACAATGGAGTACATCATATTGTTCGGATTCAAGCAACAATCCTAGCTGTTATATATCAAGAAATTGCACTGGTGAAGTAAATCCGCCTCCCAATTCATTATATCGGTCACCACGGTATTGTTCCGGATCATCACCAAAATTTGATGGTAAGAAATTATTTTACTTAGTTTCAAATTGATTTTTGATTGATTGAGATTTATGTATTTGGGTTTAAATACTACGCATTTTCTACACTAAAAAGCTAAGCCTTTAAAAAAATTTTGTCCAAGAGGTTATATTTTGCTCTGATATGCATCATAATATCTGAATTACCTAAATTACATTAATATGCACTGAACTATCTAGATTTTAGTTATTTCCAAGCTTATCATTAGATGCGGTAAATAATTTACAAAAACCGGGATAATTCAGTAGCTATAGCGGCCGCGGTAGCCGAGTGGTTAGCATTGCGCACTATCATTCGTAAGACTCGGGTTGAAATCCCGACGCCAGCAACATCAAAAAGTTATGGAAAATTAATTTGAATAAAAAAAAGTTAAATTTTCTAGTTGTGGTCGAACCTCGCCAGCGAATGTCAACCCCTTTGAGTGTATTTCGGACATGAAATACAGGCTCCTCGTAAAAAAACCATCAGACGTTCAGAGGCGACTTAGTATAAACTGTAAGTCCCACCATTTGTTGGAAAAACATCAAGATGCAAAACCACAAATTGGAAGAGGAGCGCGGCCGAAACTCACTTCAGCGGTTACAAAGCGCAAATTATATATAAATATATATAGTTTGAAACTATTGGAGTAACTAAATATAATTAGCAAATATCTTACGGCTGTTACCTCCAGGTAGAAAGCCCTGTTATGAGGCTTACCATAAATTTAATTATCATATATCTTATGGCCGTTACCTTCAGTACGATGGACTTACAAAGAAGCATATCCAGAGACTAAGTGTACAGTTGGCAACACAGCAGTTTAGCCAGACTTGTCCTCTTTGCAACGAGATTGAAGAGAATTGCCTATGCGTCAAACGTTTCGTGAACAATGTTAATCCAGTTTCTCGCCAGTTGCGAGATACAAAGCAACATCCGTTATCGCGTTAGAAATTTATAATATGAGGTGAAATCTTCATATGGTGATAAAGCTGATTAAAAAAGTCTGCCTGCTTGCCTCATTTATACATATATATATATACATATATATAATAAGTATATATATTTTTAATAAAAAATATATATATTTTAATACGGAATTGGCCGTCTTTTTTTGTAGCTGAGACAATAAAGTTTCGGAATCATAAGACACGTTAATAGTTCAACGATTTATTTATCATCAGCAAAGAAATATTGAAAAAGTTGTGCACATTCTATCAATAAATTGAGGAACTGTAATATGAGATTAATAAAAAAATCTTTCTTTGGTTATTTTTTGTCATCATATTCACTATTGTATTTCTCTGATTCTGACACACAGTTATTGGCGTTGAAGCTTACATGGTATTTATTATATAAGCTGCACTTCTGATAATTTATCAATGATAAAACAGGAATCCAATGTTAGCTTTTCAAGAACCTTCTAGATTTCTAAACAAAACTCCGCGATGTAGAATATTATCAAATGATAAACGTGAGAAAATATTGAAATAATTGGAATCTGTAATATCAATATCTTAGATTGCGAAAAAAATTGCAAGAACTTAGTACGCGATGCGAAATTTCTCACAAAATACAAGGAATTACGATGTTTAAGGGCAGTGGGAAGAAAATTTGCGCCTTCCAATTTGGCGGCAGCTGAGGAGAATAAAGTGTCAAAAACCACAATTTATGTTATCAAATTTGATTAATGAACCTTTTTTAAGCATGGATCATCCCACGCCCAATTACCCCAGCACACTTTTAGGCCTTAGTCTTGCTTCCTCTCATTTGGGGTACTTATGCATACACTTGCTAGAAAAACTATGCGTACACAATCAAGGCATAACTTTGATGGCATAAAAAAATTATTGTTGAATTAAAGATATAGATTTGGTTGAGTTTTATGTTTTAAACCCATTTATTACTATTAATATTCATAAGTTTTCTTAGTTTTAAACATATAACTTATGCTAACAAAAATAATGGTTTACCACAAGAAAAAGTGTACGCATACTATAAACTTTAAGTAAAGAAGCTTTTCGTACCGTTAGATCAGAATTAACGGTGATAAAAGCACTAAAAACTTTTTGATGATCGTTGTTATAATGAATTCCGTCATTCTATAAAAAAGGATCGCAATGGGTAGGAAGGAAAAGGAAATTGACCCCGATTTGAGTAAAATCATTGTTAAACTTCGTAATGAAGGGAAATCGTTGCGAAAAATTGGGAAGATTGTATGCAAAACCCACTTCTCCGTACAAAGGGTGCTCGAAAATTTTAATTCAACCAGCTCCGTTGAGTCAAAACCAGCCCCCAAAATTGACCGATCGTGAAAAACGGGATGTTTTGAAGATTGTGAGGCTTAAACCCGGATTAAAAGCTGCGCGAATTGGACAGGATATTAAGCAGAAGTTCAATAAAGAGCTAGATGATGATACCATACGCAAAATTTCAAAAAATAACCACCTACATGCCCGTTCTGCACGGAAGAAACCCCTCATATCGCCAGTCAACAAAGAGAAGCGCTTACCTTTCGTCAAAAAGTTTGTCCTGCATCTTTCTGAAATAAAATTCTGCATTTTTTGCATAAGAGGCCGAAAACTAGTGCGGCGTAAAAGCGGTTCAGCCTTCGATGTGCAAAATCTTGCTCCAACTGTTAAGCACGATGGTGGCGGAGTGATGGTGTGGGGCTGCATGGCAGCAAATAGAGTTGGTTATCTCTTTTTTATTGATTCCATTATGGCCCACAAGGCTTATTTACAAGTCTTAAAAGACAATTTGCAGGAAAGCAGGGAAAAATTAGGGTTGGCTGCTGACTTCTAGTTCCATCAGAATAATGACCCAAAGCATACTGAGCATATTGTGAAGCTTTGGTTGCTCTATAATCTGAAAAATCAGTTGCAATCGCCACCACAGTCGCCAGACTTGAACCCCATAGAGCATCTATAGGATTTTCTCGAGCGCAGGATTCGTCTACGGACAATTACTTCAAAAAATATGTTGAAGGAAGTGATTACGGAGGAATGGGATAACATCTCGCCGGACGTAACCAAAAAATTAGTCCAATCGATGCCAAAACGCTTGACAGAAATAACAAAAAGAAAAGGGTATCCAACTTCTTATTAAATTTTTGTATTTTTATCAATAAAGTATCTTTTTTTAATTACTTTTCAATTTGTATGCATACTTTTTCTTGTGCTAAATCATATGAAATAAAAATAAACCAAATCTATATCTTTAATTCAACAATACTTTTTTTGCCATCAAAGTTATGCGTTGATTGTGTACGCATGCTAGTGTGTACATGTGTGCATACACTTGCATGCTCTTTGTGCTTGGATGATATTCGACAGATTGTATAATTACATGCCTAGATGTCTGCCAGCACCAGGAACTGCTGAAAAACACCGGTTCCTAAGTGGTGTAAGCTTGACTTACAAAGCCATTGGAGCAACCCCTCGCTCCACAAATTTTGAAGAGCCAAAGAGCTCAATAAATTCTCAACGCAACAAACGGAATGGTCACTCCGCACCATATCCAATTTCTCACGCGGAGCTTAACCCTGAGCTCCGGACAATAAATACATAGTGTGTAAAGAATAATGGTCACCACGCTCCACCTCTAAATTTTTCCTATGGAGTTCACTCCCGAATATCATTAAGAGCCAAAGGGCTCAATGAATAAATACCAAGGTATTATTTAAAATCCCCTTCGCTACTCCTAAACATCCTCTCCCTCCTGCCCTCCAAGCTTAGACAAACCTAATTTTTTGCCACAAGTAATAGGGACAGAGTAAATTATTGCTCTTGATGCTAAAATTCTTCTGTTTGACTCTATCTTTTGCAAAGGTTAACTACTCGGACGAAAAAATATAATGTTGATGGTTTCCAGTTTTAATTGAGAGGTTTGTCAACAAGCCCTCTAACAGAGACTACATTCCAACAGCGCCCTTACTTTTGTTGAGGCTTACAGGGAGGTGCCACTAATTTTCCAACAGGATAATGCAATGAAACAAGGCAATTTTAGACGCATTGCTCCAAAGAACCCATAGACTGGTAGATCTACTTTTCTCTTTTATACGTGAAGTGTATATTAGTCTAAAGAGCTTATGCTAACCATCGCCAATACTACAATACAAATGAGCTACAATTAATACCTAACCTGGATGTCAATCTTTTATGGAAATCAACTGAATCGATGAAAAAACATTGTTTTGCAGTAAAAGATTCGAAGGCGCATCTATTGGTTATTAATGATTAATATCTCGTGACGAAAAGTGCAAGGAAAAATTTTTACTTAGTTCATGAAAACGTCAAAAAAAACTTTTGTTCCAAAAATCTTTATTACATAATAAACTAATAGTTATATCAATGAACATTTTTCAAAATACTACTTTCCTGCAAGGTTTATAGAATGAAGGGTTAAGACAACCGTAGACGTCAACGAACCAACTTCGTCATATAAATAAACAGTGTGCTTATATAAGCAATAAGCATATTTTTTTTAAGAAATATACAATACATACAACTTTTCTTATACAGAAGAAAATACAAATTATACAATTATGCAATTTTGGTTTGCACTTTCATACTAACGCCACCGCAGTCACAGATTTGGTAAATTTTTTTTACTAAAAAATGGCACAAAAAATAGCAAACAACAAGTTACTGCGCAAGGTGCAAGGAGTGGACCACCATTGTGAATAAGAGCTATACATAAAGGTACTGCTGCGGTGGCGTTAAGTACAATTTTTTTAATATAAACAATTCATTCTTAAAGCCAAAACTTCAAGTTTTCAACACGCTCACACGACATCTTTTTTTTTTAATTTTTGTCCTTAATGACCCTCTGCACACCTTTCCACTACTTCCAATTTTTAAACACGATTCTTTACAAGATACAGATCATTCACTTCCCAAAAGCTTTCTAACAGGCAAAGAAATTATGCGAAGATCGATTTCTATATATAATTTTCAAAAATAATGCATTTCTTTCAGAATTTTGATAATTTTACACGTCATTATTTACTTATGCCATTCATATTACATGACACAAAATTTTGGAGTTGTTAGCTTTAGAAATTTTTTTTAACAGGCCTATTCTGTCGAGGTAACAAAGTTTACCTAGGTATTAAAATTTACCATACAGTAAATTTTGTTACTATTTCGTATTCTGAGCTCAATGTTACCCTGTAAATTTTGTTGCTGTTTGATTTTGTGTTGTAATTCTGAGAAAAAATAAAAAACCAAAATAGGTAGGCATATTTTAGGCCTGGAATTCATTGAAGATGAAGAAAAAAGTGCAAAAAGCCGTATTTCAAGAAGTTTTCGAGACTAAAAAAATAGCCCTTTAATTCGTAGGATAACGTTTTCATTCAGCTTTTTTTTATTGTCCAGGCATATTTTCCATAATTAGGTTTAAATATTTATGATTTAATAAACACATATATAAAACTTATTTATTTTGAACTTATTTATTTTTTCGTTGTGAATATTTTTCTTTTTTACTTTATCAACTGGCAAATGTAATTTGTCGTGGACGAAAAAAGCAGTGCTGCCAAATTTTTTTCAAACATTGTAACCAGTTCGCCAGAATACCAAATTCAATTTCGGGTGTTAAAGAAAAGTAACAAAATTTACTTTACTTGTATTAGTGAGAATAGGCCTGTAAAATGAATATACTATTAATTTTCATAATTTAAGATTTTGAATGAAGTAGTATACATTTGATCGACGTTTCAATTGTAATTGTTATTAATTTAAAAAAATTACATGCAAGGCTTTAGAGGTCGAAATGTTACGCTGTTTCTTAGATAAAATTACGTAAATTTATTTTAAAATTTTCCGCAAACCCACAAAATTGAACCAACTTAGTCATTAAACATATTATTTCAAACTTGTCGTAATATTATATTCTAGAAACCTTTACATTGTGGTTAAAATTAAAATTGGCCGACGTACTGGTATTCAAAAATAAGCTGGTTTGTTATGTTTCTGAAACGCCCCTGACAATTGCATTTAATTCCAAATATCTGTTTAGTTAAAGTTTCAAAAAATAATAAATAATTAATGTACAATAGGGAAGTTATTGAGGAATCTTATCGGGATTGAATTTATAAAAAAAAGTCATTTTCGTGAAGGCATTATGATTGAAAGTTTGTAATGTATTGTTACGATTTTACTAAATCAACCTCGATTATNTTTAATTTTGGAAAAAAAAACGGCGGAAGCAAAGTTGTATACCTGATATTACTGCAAGTATTTTGAAAAAATTTCACTACCTTTGCTCCAGAGTGTTTTTATTGTAAATATTTATATGTGAACTTTATTTCGTCACATTCCTACATTTATTCATCTAAATTTCCATATTCAATTTCTCTTTCAAGATTCGGGAAAAGATTTTCATGAGATTTTACTAACACCCACTTCAACAAAAACAGTCGCTGTGCCTGCCGTGCGCATAATTAAGAAAAGAAATACGGCTAACAAAAAGGAACGAAGAAGAACACAAAGTATAAACAACGCTTTTACATGTTTACGAGAAAAAATTCCCAACGTTCCATCAGATACCAAATTATCCAAGGTAATTATTGCATATACTTTCGTACGTGTATATATGTACATATAAAATATCTACAAATGTACAATATGTGAGTGACTATATGTATATACCATATATAAATATACATATCTACGATGCTTTGTGTCTTGTAAGAAGAAGAAAAAGTGCTCCACATACTCTATGATAGGTATGCAAGAATAAGTACAAAGGCAATTATAGAGTTACATATGTATTTATCATTATTTTGAATTTATTTAGTNTTTTTAATGTTAATTTTCAATAGATGGCGCTGTATGTTGTATGATTTAAATATAAAGTTCGGTTATTTTTGGGACACACCGTGTATAAAATCATTAAAATGGCCTCCACGACTTCTTTCGAATTCGATGAACCCATTTTTGAGCACTTTTTTCACTAAATCATTCGTATGTCATGAGAAGCGCATTTAATATAGAGTTTTAAAGCTTTAAAAGTGCCTGGTTTACTGCTAAATACCAATGATTTAGATAACGTCACAAGAAGTAGTCTAATGGTGTTAATTCACAACTTTTTGGAGACCATTCAATGTAACAATTTCTCGAAGTAATCGAACCTCCAAATCTTTCTCGCTATAATTCGGTGGTTGCACTTGCTGTGTGACACGTAGCCCCCCGTCTTGTTGGTATCAGTTGTTGTTTAGACGCCTTTCTTTCAATTGTGGCCATAAAAAGTTGGTTATCATCGATCTATACCGCACTCCATAGACAGTAATGGTGCTACCAGCATCATTTCGAATAAAGTATGGATCGATGATTCTTCCAGACTAAAAACCTCACCAAACTGTAGGGGTTGTTCATGAATAATTTGTGGATTTGCTTCCCACCAGTATCGACAGTTTTGTTTATTTACCGCACCACATAGATGAAAGTGTGCCTCATCGGTGAAGATGATTTTCTTAAGAAAATCGTTATCGTTTTCAAGTTGTTGTTGTTTGTAAACGGTTTGCCTGAAGAAATTATAAACAATACAGAATGCGATGAAAAAAAAGACAGATCATGACATATTAGAAATGACCAAAACGGCACTTCTCTCATCTGATCTTGACGTTAACTGCTCGGAAAATCACATGAAGCTTTCATTGCTATTGAAACTTTTATCTCTAACTATTAAATCCGGTGGTTATCTTGTCAATTTTATCACTTTAACAGTTTGGAACGCGTGCAGTTCATCTTTAAAATGTTTTCATTGTAAAAGAACAATATGACATCACTTCCTTCTACTCCATTGACCATGACAATTTTTACACGATTATACCCGAATTAACAGAAGCGCACCATTTTGAAATACCGATAGAAGAAATTAGGTCGCTCTCCAACTGATATTTTCAATGTTTCTTCAATTTTCACCGGAAATCACTTCGAATAATTTCATAACTGAAGAGCTTTCATCTATACGGACGACATGACCCATCCAGCGTTGCAGATGTCTCTTTAATCACTGAGCGATTTCAATGTATATGTATATCTCGTACATGTCAATCGCTTGCCAATGCACAAAGGACCATAAATCTTCCGCAAAATTTTTCAACGAAAACTCCTCATCGACTGACATCATTACCGACTTTTCAATTGCCTTCTCAGTCCAAAGTAGCAAAAGGATATGCCTTGGATCTCAGGGTTCACATTATTATTGGTGGTTGAGGTTTGTCAACAGTGACGTGAAAACCACGCTGATTGTTTGGTAACTGTAGCTATTTCATCTTGATCCATTCACTACCAGATCCATTCAGTTCACTTCTTCTGAAAAGAGCAACACTAACGCCACCGATGTTAAGGTCAAAGATATCAATATTATCGTCTCTTTAACTGCACTCTTATTATTTTCTGCAGCATTAAATTTTGAGAAGTCGCCAGCTACCTAAGTACATACTTGTATATTGTTTTAATTCTGGAGACTCTATTCAAAAGTTCATTTTTTAGTAATGGGACCCAAACTAGAAGGCAGCGCACAAAAATAGAAAAAAAAAAAAATTGCATGTACTCGTATACCCATATGTATGTTAAGTGTGCTAAGTGCACATGTATGTATGTATGTGTATAGATATATATTATATACATAGGTATCTTTTCACATTATTCATATTATTATACATATTTTTATTAATACAATTGTTTTTGTTTTAAATTTTTAGATCAAAACATTGAAATTGGCTATTTTGTACATTAAATATCTTGTCGAAGTGCTAGATGGTGATCAGGATCCGAAAACTGGTTTCAGCGCCGATTTAAGGCCACTACAAAGAAAAAATACCAGTGACAAGAAATCATATTTGAAGCATGACTTGAAGGTAAGATACACACAATTTTTATATACCCGTGAAAAACTTGTTGATGCTATTGTACATACAAACATATATTTTGTAATTTTTGTTGAGTTGAAGACCAGATGAAGATATATAGTATTTATTTTAAGAAGCGAAACAGTTGCTGCAACAAAAACCTGAACTTTGGAAGACTTAACTGTTGGGCATATAAAGTATATTATTTTATAGTACTTTGGGTCACTCTTAATTTATGTCGATAAAAACTTCTTATATATTGGAATAGTTGCAGTGTGTGCGTATCTGGTAATACTTCTTTCTTCTCCTTATTGACATTGGCAGCGCTTACGCGATTATAGCATAATCAATATTAGCGCGCCATTCATCTCCTCTTTACGTTCTTTAGCACAAGTTGGAAACACCAGTGAAACCAGATCACTCTCTACCTAATACATCCAACGGAGTGGAGGTCTTCCTCTTCCCATACTTCCACCAGCAGATCCCGTATGGAATACTTTCAAAGTTGGAGTTCTTTCATCCATTCGCACGTCATGACCTATCCAGCGTAGCCGCTGTCTCTTCATTCGCTAAACTATGTCAATATCGCCCTATAGCTTGTACCATAAATCGTTCGCAACACTTTACTCTCGAAGGCTCCTAAGGCCGACTCATCAGATATTGACATCGTTCACGCTTCTGCGCCATATAGCAGGACTGACATGATGAGCGACTTGTAGAGTTTGGTTTTCGTTCGAGAGGACTTTACTTTTCAATTGTCTACTCAGTCCAAAGTAGCACATGTAGGCAAGAGTGATTTTTCGTTGGATTTCAAGGCTAACACTATTGTTGCTTTTAATGCTGAACACTAGATAGACGAAATTATCTAGCACCTTGAAGTTATGATGGCCTTATTCTTAAATATTATTCTTATGACGTGAGAGCCGAGCCACTGATGCGGTGACTGTTTGTTTGAAATATCTTTTATCTTGCCCCCTTCCACTACCAGGCCCAATCCCTTCGCTTCTTTATCAAGTCTGGAGAAAGCAGAACTAACGGCGCAGTTGTTGCGGCCAATAACATCAATATCATCGGTGTACGCCAGCAACTGCACACTCTTATAGAAGATTGTACCTTCTCTATTAGGCTCTGCAGCTTTTATAATTTTTTTAGCAATAAATTAAAGAAGTCACACGATAAATAATCACCCTGTTTGAAACCTCGTTTGGTGTCCAACGGCTCGGAGAGCTTCTTACCGATTCTGACGGAGCTCTTACTGTTGCTTAAGCCATATAATTTTTGCGGCGATACCAAATTCAGACACAGCGACGTAGAGGTAGCACCTTTTCCTGCTGTCGATAGCTGCTTTAAAATCGACGAAGAGGTGGTGTGTGTCAATTCTCCGATTATCCAAGATTTGGCGCATGGTGAATATCTGGTCAATGGTTGACTTTCCAGGTCTTATCGTCGAGCATGCTTTCTTCCATAAGCCCCTGTCGCTTTGTTGTTTTTTAACCGGGTGATTGCTATTCGTACTTCTTCATAGTCAGCTAAAGGAACAACTTTTCCATCGTCATCAATTGTAGTTTTGGATTCACCATCTACTTCATCGTTCTCACAAAGCCACTTGAAATTCTCTTTCCTCTTCTTCCGACAGATTTGTATGAAAAATTAAATAAGCCTAAATTCAACTGAACCATAGAAAAACCGGGCATGGCACACCTAAAGGAACACATGGTCAGATCGGGAAACTACTTTTCCGAGCCGTTGAAGGGTTTAGAAATCATTTTAAATGTTTCTTATTGCAAAATTATACTAATCAAATTTTTTCGATTACTTTCGGGAGCGTCAGGCATGCGATGAAGAGTTTCATGTTGGTTGTGAGCATTATTAGATCTAAATATGTGTGTTTGACCCTGTTTTTGAGGGCGTTAAATAGTCAATGTTTACACTTACATGTTTTGTCAATAAATTTGGCGAACGGCCGGTACATTAATTGCTGTTTCATTAAGCTAAAAGCAGACACATATAACGCACTCGTCTGACTGTTGTCGGCAGATGCTGTTCCGCATTCGTGGACGCTTCATGGGAGGGCATGGATAAGAGTAAAGGGGGGTGGGTACTTAACAAGTGCATCTGCGTTTTGTTTTCCGTCAACTTTCGTATACATACACACTTAGATGTGTATAGACATGTACTCGTACATGTCTTTGCGTATGTGCGGTGGTATGTGCGCATTACTCTTCTTTGCTTTTGAAAATAAGTAGTGAATTTTTGTTATGGCTGCGGTTAACATAATTGAGCACTCCCACAAAATTATAGTCAAATACAATAAAAAAAATTATTGTTATCACTTTTTATATATGTATGTATGTATGTATTTGTGTAGCTTAGTTCTCTTATGCAAATACATTTGTATTATATTCAGAAATATACATATACATACATACATACGTGTTTTTGTGTATTGGTCATATTTATCATTTTTTACATACGTGTATGTACATATCCACATAAAACTGATATGAATACATTATTTTATTGAAAATATCTAATTGTTTTCAAGCACTTAATGGATTTTGGAATAAAATTTTACATTCAAACACTTGTATAAATAGATCCAGAATCAGAGAGCAAAAATTCTCTTGAACAAAGCTAATTTCATAAGTCTAAAATTAATTTATCGTTGTGTTGCTCTGTGATCAGCGCAATTTCATACAAAAATTAATCAGCTTTTGTTAAGCAGAGCAACAATTGTGAAAATAGAAAGCGTATTGGTAAAACTATAATGAAGTACTCGTTTTAAATTTTTCTTGAACCCATAACCCAAACTCCAAGAGCCTTATCCATAGGCTCGTGCCCCATTTCGCCCATCTTTCACGACTTTGCATTAACATTTTTTTTTTTGATGAAAATTGTAGTATTATATGATGATGATGAGTGTTCAAGGCAAGTAGTACATACTGTTATATAGGTACTGGGAATTAATCATGTGGAAAGCCTACTTTAAGGCGTTAATGTAACGCGACTGTCTTCTGCTGAAGTTTTTTTTTTGGAGGGAGGGCGGCAGAAAAGCATCGACAACGTATGAGGACCATGCACTTCTCAGTGAAGATTGCCTGGCAAACTGGAGAAATAGAATCAATGAATTAGATTGTAACATTTACGTTACCCTCACTAACATGCCCTACGATTAACAGGCCT